TATGTGGAAGGAAGAGGAGGGAAAAGTAGAGAGAGGAAGGGAATTGAACAGATAGTGGGTGCATATGTGAGTTAGTGGTAGGAGAGATCACAGAAAAGTCGACTATCACGAATTACTTCAGTGAATGGCAGAACTGGCGGCATAGTTCCCTTCGATTGTGAAAACGACGCAAGCAGCTTTTACACGAAAGTTCAAGCTGAGGTTTGGCAAATTGCCAAGGGTTGGTTGTGACCTTATCCTTCTACTCTATCAAAGCACTACCTCTATGTGTCGGTATGTATGTATGTTTGTATGTCTGTCCGTCCGCAAAATGCCTCAGGGGCTCGAGTTAGCGGGAGGAGAAAACGACCGCTAGACAAACCGGTAACCGATTGGTGCGGATGTATCAATCCAATGTTTTGATTGTGATAACAGCCTCCGCTATATAAGACAACCATTCGGTACACTCCGAGCCATTGCACGAGCTGCTGGCGTGGCAGCTGGACGTGTGCTCGGGCAGGGTGGGGTGAGCGAGGGGGGCACCGAGTGATCCCTCCCTTCTGCTTCCTTCCCCTGCACGTGCTCAGCCGGACCTGAGCATGTGCAAGTGAAGGAAGCAGAGGGGTGGGGGAACGGTGAGAGGGTGCGAAGCGCACGCTCGAGTAGGAGCACGCAGCAAGAGAGGAGGATACAACCGCTAGCAAAACTGCGAGCTTATCAAAATAAAGTGAACTATGATGTTGTTTTGATTGTGTTACCCTCACTAAGTAAGACAACCATTTAGTACTCTCCGAGCCATTGCTCAAGCTGCTCGCGTGGCAGCTAGACGTGAGCTTGCGCGTGGGTTGCTTCATCTATTACGATTCGATCAAAACAGCGCATTATGAGTAGCTAGGTGAAAGAACAAATATTGTTCCCATTATGAAGTGCGCCTGGCGAAGCTAAGCCAGCTAAAGATAAGGAGGAGAGCTCGGCGTCAGCCGGACTGGTAACGCTATAAAGGGCACGTCCCACTCGAACGGAATCATTCTGCCAGTT